AGTTGATATAAGCTGGAGTCAGCACAGAAACCCTAAAATCCTAATGTAAATGATTGCAAAAAGCATTAGGATTAGCATTCACTCAGTTGCTACAACAGGATAATCTACTTTCATTTTTGTAGTTTCCGGAGGCATGGCGCCATGGCCCTAACCATCAGAATAAACCCGTATGCTTATTAAAGGTGCAGATTCCTGCACCCCACCCCAGACCGACTGAATCAAAATTTCAAAAATTGATCCTATAAATCTACATTTTTAATAATTTCCCAAATATTTGTTTTGCACACTAAAGTCTGAGAACCTCTGCCAGGAGGCTGGACCCCAGAAAATGGATTTGCCTCACTTTGTAAATTTCCAGCATGGGTCTGGCTTCTACAGACTATGAACAATTCATTTAACATAAACTCCACATCCACTTACGACCATAAAAATAAGTAGGGCATTTTGTTGATTACTTTTGTGCAAATAGGCATTTCTGAAGTAAGTAGACTAATATTTTATGGCAAACACTGAAAAAAAAACCTGGAAATGAGTATAAAAAGAATTCTCAAGGAAAACAAAGCTCAATTCTGAGCCCCACAATGGTCAACATCTGCTATGCGCCAGACTGAGGAGACACTGATGGCTAGAGAGACTAGGTCCCTATCCTTATTTTTCCTTTATTTATGCATTTAAATAGTTTAATATACACTCAAACAAAAAAGGAAGACGATTTCAGAGTGGCAATGCCACGAATGCAATAAAACAATTTCATGGGACAGAGAAAGTCTGTGGGGGAAGGAGGCAGAGGTAGTGGCTGTCTGTAGTAGACACAAGGATGAAAAATGGCGTCCCTGAGGAGGTAACATTTGAACTGAGACCTGAAGGAGAAGGCGCCAGTCATGAGAGGGTTGGGGGAAAGTGTTCCCGACAGAGGAAACTGTGCTGTGAAGACCCTGAGCTGCGAACAAGGTGCTCATGAAATTATTATAGGAATTAAATCAGAAATCAGATCGCATATACAAGATGTTCTGCAAAATAGAAAGCTATTTAGAAGTATAAAGTATTATTTTTAGTAATATATTAGAACAGTTTTGGAGAGAAGCTGCAATAATGAAAGGCCTCAGATCTGTGTGATGTAAAGAATTAGTCAAGCAACTTGGGGCTATATTGCCGAAAGAACAATAGACACAAGTATGTGTTTGAGTGAAGAAAGGAGAAGTCTTCTTTGAATGTTTGAAGAACTATGTTCTTGTGGAAGATGATTCATTTTTTTTAAATAGCTCTGAGGGTATGGAACAACTTAAAATGGTAAACATTTTAGGAAGGTAGAAGAATCTTGGCTCATAATGATAATGAACACGCAAAGAGAGTGGTAGGAAAATGGACTGACTGGAAGGTAGTGAGTTCCATATGACCAGAAGTAATCAAGGTCGGGCTGAATAGACATTTGGCAGAGGAATGATTGGACTAGATTACCTAAGAGGACCTCCGCAATTCTTTGAAAACACACATACATTCACTCGAGGTGCTCTCTCTCTCACACTCCCTGTGACCTCCAAGATGGCCTCTTCAGTTCATGCTTTACAACTTTGGGAGGTTTTGAGAAAAACTTGAGAGATACTGAGGATTCTACCGTATTCACAATTCACCCTGTCATTCTGCAATAAATTATATCTCCATGTCCATAATAACCAATATATATTTCAAAATGGCAAATTAAGAAACCGGATAGACCAACATTCATTTTTGAAATTTGTGGCTAAGATTTAGTGGTGTTTCAGCAGTGCACATTAAACAATTTATCTCAACATATTAAAATATTAAAATATACTTTATTGTAACAAAAACATCATCTGGATTCCATTAGCTCCCAATAGGTGGCATGCCAATAAATAGCCAAAATCTTTAGCACACAGGTATGTGGCTTTTTGTTGGTTTGGTTTTTAATGGGAACCATAGGCCCAGGAAGATGATTTCTACAATAAAAGTCCTGACAGAGAATCACTACTGTATTATTTCTGTATTAAATCCAATAAATAAAGTAAAAAACATAGTGACTTGTCACTTGACCACCTGGGACCAAAATGCTAAAAGGTAAGCCTTCTAAGGACAGAGAGACCAAGCCAGACTTGGGAGTGAGACTAGAAATAACTTTGAAAATCTGAACATTACTAAATGACCTTTATATTTCCACACCCAAACGCATGTGGTTCATATTCAGATAGATTGCAGAAAATATTCTCTTAATATCTACATTTTTGTGCACATTTGTGTTTATTGTATTAAGCACATTTCTTAAAAACTACTTGTAAATAAAATTCTATCATGTCTCTCTTAGGACAACTTACAAAAATGAATCTTTCCATAAAATAAAGACAACGTCTATGTAATTGTTCATAAAATTAGACTTCATTTTGTAAAATCCAGGAACACCAAAAGCTGAAATCAACAAGTTGAAATCAAAGGTTTAATACTTAATACAAAGAAAGAGTTTATCATAGAATTTTTTTTTTTTTTTGTATACGGATCTCTTCTCAGGACTATGAAAATTTCTATGTATGCTTATAGTATTTTAGAAATATGTCTGTTCCATAAAAGGCAAATATAACCTGTAATGTGAACAATCACTTCCTAACTTATTTTTCTTTAGGCTCACATATATTAGATTGTGCTATTTTATTAAGCTGAATCCCTCAGAACTCAGGGTAACAAAAGGACTGGATTAGTGGCTCAGGAAACCCAGGTATCTCTGTCCAGAAGCAGGTGCCACCTAACATCTGAGTTGCCTAGACACCAATCTCTTAAATGAGTAGGGAGTTTTAATTCTTCAGATATATCATTACCATTACAAATCCCCAAAGCATTTCTAATGACATTTGTACCTGACTAATGCACAGAGAAGCTGCGATGCCACAAAACAATACATAGGGCTGGTAAAAGAGACCAAGTCTTCTGTCCCAGAGTCCAACATGTTCACCAGGACCTTTCTTGGCAATCTCCTTCCAGCTTGAGTGGTGTCAAAGTTTTGTAACGACCAATAATGGTATCTCTAGGATAATGTTAACAACATAGTTGGTGAATATCTTTCCTCTCTAAAAAAGATCTGAGACCTCTTGACACTTGTTTCCTTTCCTTATTTTTTTTTTCAGGCAACAAGAAATTCGGGATACCTGTGAATTTTCCAAACCTTCTCATCCTTAACTGAACCTCTTTGTTGCCTTATCTTGCAAGAGTGTACAGTCCACCTCTTAGAGGTGGACAAAGCTGTGAATCATGACCCAAATGCATGTTCTACAGATGGGAAGAAGCATGGTACCGTGGAATGGCTCTAAGGGTGCCATGAAACCAGGAGCATGCCACAGAGTTGCAACTCCAGACTGTCAGCAAATCAGAAGTAATTTTCTACCTAAATCAGAGTTTAATTCATTAGCCCACATTAATTCACAAGTTCTAACCAATTTCTCAAAACGCAATAACACAATCTTCCAACCTAATTATCTTCATTGACAGCATTTAAAAGCATTTGCTGAGACACATTTCTTCCTTGTGTCAGACAGGATCAACGTCAAGTGAACAGCTTGGGTGGACGACATTCTGTCTAATTGCAAGGGGTTGCCATTTCAGGAACTAATCATTTCTTGCAAGGGAGAAATTCTCCCCTAGAGTGGACACCAATAAATAAATACCTCCCAATAAATAAAGGTTTAAATATGTACCTGTTTACAATTGTGTTCAGATTCTCAAGATCATCGTGTGAGTGTGTGTGTGTGTGTGTGTGTGTGTGTGTGTGTGTGTGTGTGTATACTCTTGGCATTCTGTTGAATTGGAAATATTACAATATAGATGACTTCCACAATAATTTTAATCACTTAGAGAAGTTTAGGGATCTGAAAAGAAACTTTTAAAAACAGAACAACAAAAGAGATAATTTGTAATGAAAACACCATCCCATCTAACTACCACTCAGGAAAATGATAGATATTTCCCTATAAATAATCATGAGAAAAGAACTGGGTTTTTTTTTTGTTGTTTTTTTTTTTAATTTTTTTTTTCAACGTTTATTTATTTTTGGGACAGAGAGAGACAGAGCATGAACGGGGGAGGGGCAGAGAGAGAGGGAGACACAGAATCGGAAACAGGCTCCAGGCTCTGAGCCATCAGCCCAGAGCCCGACGCGGGGCTCGAACTCGCGGACCGCGAGATCGTGACCTGGCTGAAGTCGGACGCTTAACCGACTGCGCCACCCAGGCGCCCTGAACTGGGTTTTTTTGAAGGCATTTATTTCAAAAGCTCATTCACTAAAACCCCCTAAACTTTAATCCAAAACAGTTCATTTCCATTTCCTTTTGATAATCAGAAAGGAAATCAACCCACATTTTTTAAACAGTCATTTTTTTTTAGATCCTTTACTGGGGGGTAATATCTTTTAAAAGCATTTTGAGTGAACGTATAAGCAAAAACTACTAAAAAGACAAAACATACTTCTTATTCCTCATGTCAAGTTTAACTTTTACTTATTTCCTACCTTCTAAAAGTCATTGCTGCCATTAGGCCTTTGCTTTGTGAGGTAGCCAGGTTTCTCCTAACACTGTCCACTAAACTCATTCTAATTCATGCCCTGGGCCAATAACAAATCTACTTTTCCAGCTGTAATGCTTTAACAGCTTAAATTTCTAAAGTAACAGGCATCTTTTGCTCCTTTGAAAACCAGTTCTGGCAGTGTGATGTAAAGGAAAGTAAACACTTAAAGAGGTTCAAATATGCAGCATCGGAATTCACGTGTCAGATATAGACACTGTGGTATTTAATGAAAGTCAATGCCCAAATCCCGGAATCCAGTTTAGGCAATGGGACTACAGATATATTTTGAAAGATGGAGAGTCAATTAACAAGCACATAATTTTGTTGTAAATCTGTTATAAGACATATATGACCAAGAAGGGACAGCATTTCTAATTAGCATGCATGAATCAAAAACCATATATACGCCATGCTATATTCAAATTAAATGAACCTACCTTATAAACTTGTCCATATGTTCCATTTCCAACAAGTTCCACTAATTCAAAAATCCCTGCAGGGTCCTAAAAGAAAATAAACAAACAACAAATATTCAGCACAATATTCTAGGCATTGTTGTAATCAAAAGCAAAATTCAAAATAAGCAAATAAATAACTTTAGCTTTGGGGGTACTCATGTGTTAATATTAATTGCTATTAAAATTTAATTCAGCTACAGCTATGAAATTAGTCAAAATCTACTTTCTTTCCATTTTACATCTCTATGAGATGTGTTTAAATCAGACAAAAAGAGATATGACTTTCACTGAAACAATAACAAAGAATTCACATATTTCTCACAGTCAGATGGAAACACACTTGCAGGTACATCAGGATAAAATGAAAGAGCCATCATCCTGAGAAAGGATTGTAATTTCTCAGATCTTTCTCTATGAAGCTTCTGAGCTGTCCATTATGTTGAACACAGTCAAGAAGGGGGTGTTTCTGTGTGGTGGGGCAATCTTACATAAGGTAGTCAATGGTTCCCAAGAGCAAATGCAACCAACATAGCTGCCTCTGGGGCACCTGGGTGGCTCAGTCAGTTAAGCGTCCAGCTCTTGGTTTTGGCTCAGGTCATGAGTTCACGATGCATGAGTTCGAGCCCCGCATCGGGCTCTACACTGTCAGTGCAGAACCTGCTTGGGATACTCTCTCTCCCTCTCTCTCTAGCCCTCCTTTGCTTGTGTTCTCTCTCTCTCTCTCTCTCTCTCTCAAAAATAAATAAATAAACTTTAAAAAAAACACAGCTGCCTCTCTCAGCATGTTTTTCTTTGGATTCATCTTCCCTCTTTACAAGGCTGTCCTTGCAAAATATGTTTCTGTGGATGGCCTCCAGATCCTGCAGTACCTGAAGAGTCCCTGCAGGATTTTGAAGACAAACTAAACTGGAGATTGATGCAAGTCCTTACCACCAAACAGGTGTCACCTAACCCTCAGAGTCAGCTAAATGTTAGGGTGCTAGGGGCGCCTGGGTGGCGCAGTCGGTTAAGCGTCCGACTTCAGCCAGGTCACGATCTTGCGGTCCGGGAGTTCAAGCCCTCAAGCACAGGCTCTGTTATTGATGGAGCCTGGAGCCTGTTTCCATCTCTATGTTTCCTCTCTGCCCTCCCTGCTCATGCTCTGTCTCTCTCTGTCCCAAAAAAATAAAAAAAAAAAAAAAAAAAAAAAACGTTGAAAAAAAAAGATAAATGTTAGGGTGCTCAACAAATGTCCAATGAGTGCTACTTCTTACTAAATTACTGTCCACAAAAGTTGAAAAAAATATCAAAGCCTATAAAATTCAACTCAGAAGCATAAACTGACTCTGACCTCCACTGATATGTAATTGGACAGAAATTATTTCTTTAAGGGCCTAAATGAAGAATCACGAACTTAAACGTCCACAGAGGCTAGGCAAGTAACATAAGAGAACAAAGTGCAGGGTGCCTGTGGCTCAGTTGGTTAAGTGTCTGACTTCAGCTCGGGTCATGATTTTGCAGTTCGTGAGTTCGAGCCCCATGTCAGGCTCTGTGCTGACAGCTCAGAGCCTGGAGCCTGCTTCAGATTCTGTGTCTCCCTCTCTGTCTCTGTGCCTCCCCCACTCATGCTCTCTCTCTCTCTCTCTTTCTCTCTCTCACACACACACTCTCTCTCTCAAAAATAAATAAACATTAAAAAAAAAAAGAGTGAAGTGGGCCAGCTGGGGTCTGTGGCAGCCTGAAGAAGCCATGTCTCCCTGCAGAGAGGGAGGTAACATAGCTGGGACCAGTTGGTTCTTACATTAACCTATGAGCACAATATTGCCAGGTCTGAAGTTTTGTGTTTTGTTTTTGTGTTTTGTGTTTGTTTGTTTCCAAGATGTCCTAATTTTTATTTTTTTAAGTTTCTTTATTTATTTCGAGAGAGAGAGAGAGAGGCAGACAGAGAGAGAGAGAGAGAGAAAATCCCAAGCAGGCTCCTCACTGTGAGCACAGAGCCTGATGCGGGGCTCGAACTCACGAACACATGAGATCATGACCTGAGACAAAATCAACTGTCAGAGGCTTAACCGACTGAGCCACCCAGGTACCCCTGTCTTAATTTTTAAATGTTAGGCGCGAACTGTGAGGGAAGGCCAAATAAAAAAAGGCTGCATTGGGGCGCCTGGGTGGCGCAGTCGGTTAAGCGTCCGACTTCAGCCAGGTCACGATCTCGCGGTCCGGGAGTTCGAGCCCCGCGTCAGGCTCTGGGCTGATGGCTCAGAGCCTGGAGCCTGTTTCCGATTCTGTGTCTCCCTCTCTCTCTGCCCCTCCCCCGTTCATGCTCTGTCTCTCTCTGTCCCAAAAATAAATAAACGTTGAAAAAAAAATTAAAAAAAAAAAAAAAAAAAAAAAAAAAAAAGGCTGCAAAAGCGTGAACACTTTTGTAAGAGCACCACCATATATTGTCAGGGTGACTGAGAGGCAGGAGAGGGAAGGCCTGGGCTTTGGATTCAGACAGACCTGGGTCGAATACCAGCTTTCCCTTGACTGGCTGCATGATCATAGGACACCCTGGGAGAGCACCTCAGTCTCTGGGCAGAGAAAACAGATATGACACGCGCCTTGCAGAGCTCTGATGAGGAGTGAGTGAGGGCCTAGCACTACACGCTGCACATGGTTGGCAATCGGCTAACGTGTTAATAGCAGTCATCCTGAAGCTGAGGGTCTGCACACCACTAGCAGCATTTAAAAGGTGAAGGGCTGCTCAAGGCTGCCATGCATGGGGAAGGAGACAAATGAGTTTGATGTGACAAGCGAGAGTCATTTCGAGTTACAGTCTTCAGCACATCAGGCCCAAGGAAAGCCCTTTGCTGTATGCCTTTGAAGTCTCCGCAGAGAAAACAAATTAAAAAATAAAACAAAAGCCCAGCAGTTGAAGCACGTTGTCACCGAGAAAGATTGTCATCTGTGTAATCCATCGTGATAAAGCCAGGAGGGCAAGAAACCACACTCCACAGTCTGAGAAATCCGGAGGTTCCAGCCACGCCCCACGTGGTCAGGGGGTGTGGACAACGTTCCAGAGGGAACCTGTGACAGCAGAGACCGTAAGGGCCCAGGGCCCTGTCAGCGGAGACCCCGTGGCTAACAGAGCACCTGGGAGGCCTCAGGATGGGAACAGAAAGTTGTGTGTGTGAGACCGCCAGGCCAGCAGAACAGCAGGTTCTATTACATGCAGGATTAGAAAGAAATGAGGGAACGAACGGTGGGGGAAAAAAAGCCCACAAATGGTGGCAGCTGCTGTTTGTTTCTAAGTTGTGCTCCCAGTAGTTTGTTTTCTCAGCGGTGTTTCTGCAACAAATTTTGAGAGAGGTTCTACATTTGCTCGAAATATCTCAATTGTGTTTTCAACATTCGTTTTTCTTGACTAAAAAAACAGAATTTGAATGAAAGAGAGAAGATCCAGAAGGGTGACTACCACCTGCCTTAGGGAGCCTAGGAAGCAGTGGGGGAGGGGATGGTGGAAGGGGAGGGCAGGAGCAGAGCGGGGACGAGCTTCTAGGCCAAGGGGCCACCCCACCTCACAGACCCTTCCTCAGGGCTGAGGTTCAATGGGCTGATCTCAAGAGCATCTGGGCAACTGACTTCTAGCTCTTTCCTCTTGAACAGTCCACTAATGGGCCTATGTCTCAGCCAATCAGGACCAAGGAAGTGCAATGCCAAGACTTTTGTTCCAGCTGCTGGGAGAGGGGTCTTCCAGCTGGGTGCATCCAACGGACTCAGAATTAAAGGTGAGAGTAACCACAGGGATGGATTGGTGACCACCTTGGGTAGACAAACAAACTAGAAACAATCATGAAATTGGGGTGGTTCTCCAGGAAATGGGACTCAGAATTACTGAGATTTACACAGAGGGATTTTATCAGGGTGTTCCACGGAATCAACACCAGTTGGGAATGAAAGAATTCGGATTGGAATGAGCAGACAGAATGATGCAATGGAACCAAAACTTCATCTGATCCCACAGGAGCTCTGGAGCCGAGGCGACTCTTCAAAGTTATCCTACCCCGGGGCACGGGAGCCTTTGCACCCCACCTCTATTGACTAGTCATTGCATACAGGCTGTCCGCTGTCCCCATCCCAGAGGTTATGATCTTGTGTAAAGTGACACTCTTCTGCTGAGGACAATCCCCAGGTGAGAACAATCACTAGCTGCCTTCACTCCCAGCAGGTGAACCCCAGCAGGTGGACAAGGAGTGCCTCAGGAGCAAAGAAGGCAACTGGGTGACACATCACCCAGTTGGCTAGAAACGAGTACCAACATGGAACTGGTTGAGAAGTCGAGAAGCAGCTATCTTCTACAGTATGCTGACAATAATAAGACAATAATAAGACAAAATGGCACAATTCGGGTCATGGTATTTACAAGGAGGAGGCTCTCTGAGACCCTGGAAAGCAGAGGGCAGACATATTGTCCAGGAGCACTTGAATTAAGCACTTATCCTAAGCTTCCCTCTCCCCTACCTCCACTCCAAATACCCAAGAGCTTATGTTTGTGAATACTCCCATACACAAATGCATCTAACTGCTAGTTAGGCTCTTGTGGAATAATGCTACAGCTTGAACTGGGTAAGCATTCATTCATGTGTTTTCTCCACTCTTGGAGAACTCTAAAATAATTTCTCCCAAGGGTCACCAATGACCTCAATCTCTTATCTATAATGGTCTCTTCTCAGTCCCGTCCTGGCTATTCCCTTTGAGGCATTTATACTGCCAAGCATCATCACTCTTGCTGAAATATGTCCCCTCCCTTGTCTTCTAGCATACCACTCAGTTTCTCACAGAGATTCTGTTTCTTCCACCCAGACCTTAAAGATAGGCTGACCCCAACGTTCCAACCTCATGCTGGTCACTAAGTACTAATGATTTCATCTCCCAATATCCATTATATCCATCTACTCTGTTCTGTTCATACAACAGGCCTCATCTTCTCTTGCCGGGACTATTTGCTTTCAATCAATTCTTTCCTCCTTCACACTGAACTTTCTAAAAAGACACAACACACCATGCTTTAGAATCCTACACAG